ACCATTAAATTTTGATTTTAACAACTTTGAGATAGATTAAGATTTTGTTCCATTTCACGTATTGCTTGTAAACGAGACGTTTTAAGAGTTAGTATAGTAAATCCATAACATAATGAGATGTTAAGTCGTTTGCTAATACGGTCAATAAGGAGAATAAAACTGAAGCGTTTTGATGAATACCTTCAGCAATTCGTGAACTGAAATTTGTGGATGATAATGGGTGATGCAAAAGTTCCTGCACAAATGTCGAGCACTATTTTTCCATGATTTCAATGTTCTGGAGACTTCATCTTTTTTTTATTTTACAACGCGCTTCAAACAAATCTTTCTCTCATAAAACTTCTTTGTGAAAAAATTCAGACACTCAACAACAACATCATTAAAAACGTTTTGGTAAAATTGTACTAAAGTATACAAAGTTTCACTGATGCCAAAAATAATCACTTGTTACTGAAACCAAATACATGTAAGGATAGTCCGTGAAAAACTCTATCGATTTGATCTTCTTAGAAAATTTTCAAGTACTTTTCAGTGGCGCGTATTCTAAAAAGTCAATTTTTCTAAAATTCGAGATTTTACATCGAATATTTAAGGTTTTGAATATTGTGCACCAACGAATATTTAGGATAAGGCATCCCCAGAAGCAGAAAGTAACTGAGATTATATTTACTTGTACGTCAATTTGCAAAAAATTGAACGGAAATTCAAAGTGCAGTTCCAAATTTTGAAAAAAATTATTTGTCAGTTTCAAAATCAGCAGTTAACACTAACGGATTAATTTTTTAATAGCAATCAAATAAATGATTATATCTCCGTGAAAACTGAATAAAAACAAAATGTATCGTACGCCACTGGAAAGAGAGTTTCAAAAACTATTAAATGTAATAATCAGTCACTGTTCGTACTTAGTCAGAGTTGTAACCGATTCAACCAACCGGTTTTCACCGGCTTTTATCGGTTGAAAGAATTGTGTAAACCGGTCGGTTTTTCACCAGCTGAACTTTATGAGAGCAACTTTAGCGCTTTTATCAAAACAACAAAACAGTTTCGCTTCAAAATATCAGTTGTATTTTCTTATGCTCTTCTCAACTTCTTCTTTTTCTAATTAGATTGTCTGTCCCCATTAAAGAGGACAATCAAAACAGTCTCACATGATCTTATTTGTTATTATATCTATCTTTTTATGTAAAATTTGGACGAAACAAGAAAATTAGAAATCAGCTTGTGCGGGAACGGATTTTCATCTGAAGCCGGAGAAACGCGACGTTTAAATTCAGAGAGCTTACGGATTTAAACGGCTGCGACATGACCTCACTTCTTGAAAGAATCATAAAAATTCGTGCTAAATGAGAAAAACGAATTTTTTTAAAACGCCTGACTTTCACTGGTTAAAAAAATTAATGAATCGGCTTAGAAAGTTTTTTAAACCGGCTAGACCGGTTTGAAAATTCTCAACCTATTAAAACTCTTGACTTAGCCCTAAATGAGAAAACGTTTTCAAAGAAGATAGAAAGTTAGTTCATACTTTACAGTTCCTCCACCCCCACCCAAAAAAAAGATGAAGTCTGCAAAACATTGGAATCATGGAAAAATAGCGCTCGACCCCTGTCTAGGAAATTTTGCATCATCCGTTAGAACTTGTCTCATTTTCTTCTCTCTTATAAATAAAATCAAAAGGGATTACGAACGTACAACTCGCATTTACTTATATCTTTTCAAATTGTTCAATACGATCAAGACGTAGACATTTTAATGAACAATAACCATAGACAATAAATCAGATTTTTCCAGTGCCGTGGCGAGAGAAAAAAGCAGGAGGGGTGTGCATTTTTTCTGAGAGATCAACTCTAAAAAAAAAAACGCAGCTACCTTTCAACTCTAAAAAAAAAGCAGCAGAATTCTAAGGAGAAAGGAAAAATTATTGAAGAGAAAGGAAAAACTATTAAAGAGAAAATTTTTCCAGAAGCAGGGAGAGCTTACATCCCCCCCACACCCCCCCTTTAGCCACGGCACTGGATTTTTCGTTCGACATCGAAAACAATTATGACACGTACATAACGTATCTGGAATAAGAAAAAAGAATTAATCAATCATTTATTAGCTCATATAAATTTTAATTACCATTACCATATGATTTTAAAGACAAACCAACTTCGTCTTTCAACTTGTGCCATTTGTATAATTCGATGCGCAGTAAAAAATATTGTGTCGCATTTTGTGTTGCAGTAAAATGTGTCGCAGCTTCTGTGAGAAAATTGTGTCGCAAAAGAATGTGTCGCATGTTAGTGTCGCCGTTACTAAGAGCTTTTAGACACAGCTCTTGAGGACATTTAAGGATCTACTCTGTTAAAAAACTTGCTAAATTTTATGTTTTACTATTTTCAATAGTCTTCATTAGGATTTTTCTCGGCTTCTCTTCAATTTTGATGAGCTATAGGTGGCGCTAATACGTAAAATATAAGAAAATTGTTGGGTTTTTTAAGTTCTTTCAATTTTGCATTGATGTTATTCGTGGCTAAAGATCCCTGTCTAAGTCTTTTTAACCTTTTTTCTGTGTTAAACATTTTTTCTTTGACGAAAACCAACCAATCCGAGGCCTTGACTACGCTATTAACCTCAGATCTGGGAAACTGAATATTTTGAAGGCCTGTGAATATTACGGGCTGATTAAGCTCGTCGACATTACGTAGTGCACCCAAAACGAACTAAAAATATTCTTAAAATCGTACAAGAGATGAAAAATACCTATTTTCCACTGTTTTCTTTGTAGTAGAAATACTCAGCGGAATGTGTCGCATGAAAATGTATCGCAGACTCAATGGAAAAAATGTGTCGCAAGTGGCTCCCGGTGTCGCAGATGATTATGTCGCAATTTGCGACACATGCGACACATTATTTTTTAGTGTGTTCTGGTGTTCAAGAGATAATTTGTGACAATGTTTCAGTGTATTATTCAAATTCTGTATGAATAAATTCAAATATCATTTTTTTATGTTTATTATTCTCCAGATAGATTTCGCAGACATACAAACAGCGTAATATTCGTCAAGAATGTAACAATTTTTTGATATCATCTTCAATAAATTTAGTTTGTGATTCTTGATCATTCTCTATTGCAATACTGATGACTGATGGATTAGTGATAAAAGAATTTCATATTTTTCTTTGACTATTTTCGATAGTGTTCTTCAATTTAATATAAATTTTCATGATTTTTAAATCGTGTATATAATAATGAACAAATTTATTCAGTTCAATCATTCATATACGATGTGTTTCGGCTTCTGTTATCAGTTTATGTTCTTTAGCAATAATTTTATTTATATGTTCATAACGATTACATTTGAAAATATCCACAAGTTACTAACGAATGTTTTTGCCATATTTTTAAATATATAAGGTGTCCGTAAAGTCCTTAGAGTTAGAAAATGTTCAATGTTTTCGTCATTCTTTACCCAAATGAGCTGATTTTTTTTCTGAGTATAGTAAGCGGATAGAAGTGTCTATTCATCACAAAACAGACCATTTATGAACATAAAACAAACAATTTTTTTAACGCTATAAGTAAACTTTACAACGAGGTTTTTTCTCATAGTTATATGCTGATGCTATAGTATATTCTTTTATTTATTTAATCAGAAATGTAACTGATATGTAAGCCTAGTTTGAGACAAATTGTCCTCCATTATTCATACAGACATGAAGGCGCTGTTGAACAGAACGACATACTTTGCGACACATTTCTTCTGGTATCTGTTCACAAGCTTCTTCAATTCTCTGTTTAAGTCCTTGAATGGAAGTAAGTGGCTGTTTAAACACCGTGTCTTTCAAATATCCCCAGAGGAAAAAGTCACATGGAGAATAAACACTTCTATTTACTTTCCACATTCAGAAAAAAAATCAGTTCATTTGGGTAAAGAATAAAGAAAATATTGAACATTTTCTAACTCTAAGGACTTTACGGATACCCTATATCCAACAAATTATCGCGCTCACAGTTACACATTTAATATGGTTAGGTCCTAGATACGTGTAAAATTGATATATTAAATTTCTTGTTGTCTCTTTTCTATTCAGTCTTCATTCTTTTGTATTGGTATTAAACAATTTTTTGAATTCGTCACTAACTATAAACAATTTGCAGCTATATCTTCCTCCTCTTTAGTTCCTTTTACCGAAATAAAGTATGGATATCTAGTAGTGCGTTCATTAGATACCATTCTTTAAGTTTTATTTTAACTAATGTATCAAACAAATCTTTCCAATTTTGACAACTAGCCTGTTCTTCAATGAAATAAAACACAAATAATGAGTCCATTCTATTTCCCGTTGATCTCTCTTATCGATTCATGTTCATCTTGTAGACAATTCCAACAAAAATAATGTTCATTGATACAACTGACACATTTTGAAAATTTTTTCATATGTGAGAATTGTTGGACACGATTGGATGATCTTTGAACAATCAGACCACAATTGGGATGTTGACACCATTTAAAGTTCGGATTCAAATCAACAAATGCTATAATATCAAATTGTAGATAACTAACGCTGAGCTGTTTCCTTGAAGACACATTTTCCATTTAACTTCATTTGGTACAAGTGTAAAAGCTTATCAGCGCCGACCTTGGGTCTAAAGTATCACTTCTCCAACAAAGTTTTCAGATATGCAGCAGTTTTTCCCTGTAAAAACTTTCACTCCTTGTTCTTCCTCTTCCAGAGGAATGCAGGGGAGGAGTTACACAAAACAATCATAAACCGGACAAAATATATTGTGAACACTTCCAATTTGGATATTAACAGTCAAGTAACTAAAAACAAGAAATAATTGAAAAATTGTTCGTATATAAGCAATCTGTGCTAGTATTATACTTTTACCAACATTATTTACAAAACTGATGATCACATGAAATAATAATTCATTCACAGTTAGACTCAAATATATTACAACATATATGATACTAGAATAATAATATAATTTACACCGTTGTGATTAATTAATGATTCCAGTCTTGTTAAACTCATTTACTAACGTAATTGTTTCAAGATCGATAATATTCGTTGATGTTAATACACGTTTGTGTAATAAACTAAGTGGTGATGATAGACCCCGTTTCTTATATGTTGATTTGGAAGACAGCGAATGAAGATCCTTACAACATTGAATTAGATTATCAATGTTTGACTGAAGTAATAATTCTTTTGACCGTTCTAAATAGAGAAAACACACATTTGATGGAATACTCCTTGAACGGAAGAATTTACCATAATTTCTTAAAAATGTTTCAGTTGTGATTGTAACATATCGACTGTTTCAACGAGTTCTTTGTTTCTTTTGCTTCTTGTAATCTTGGATTCATGAAGCACAGAATGACTATTAAAATAATTGAATACCAGTACAATTATACAGAAACGTAATATAATACTTACATCATCAATTATCAATGGCGATTCTTCAATATCTCAATCTTCTGTGTTGTTCTGTAAAATCGCAGAAAGTTAAATTATTAAAGGAGACAGCCATTCAAACAGTCACTACCTGCGCTAAATACTATTCTTGATTCTAAATAATAGTACAAATCTTTGTGACCATTTTTCTCGACTAAATCACATAAAGACATCTTCTCTTTATTTTCAACGTGCAATAACCGCATCATGATTTAAAAGAATCTGCAGTACAAATGCATAAATTTTAGTCCAGTTTTATTGTTAAACTATGACAAAGAACAATTCTTTACCTCAACGCATGATTTGAAACGATTGAAATGCAGTACTTTCTTCCTACAAAAAATACAACGAAATTGTAAAGAACGAAGATGTGGAAGATTAATGTTGCAAGCTGAATATTTAATTGTACACAGGTTGTATATAATAAAATTCTATTAAGATAGAGGTGTTTGAATAATGTTTCCAAGTTAAGAGCGTCAATATCGATTGTTTCATCCGTATTTTTATCTTTCCATTTTGATAATAATATCAAACACTTATTTTGTCTAAGAAAATGTACATGTAACAGCAAATCCATATAATTTCTAGAATAGAAAGATGTTCACTGCACTTTATTGTCAATTTGAAAGACACTATGTAGTGATGTTCGATTTATCCGATTTTTTTTGTCCTTGTATTGTCATTATGGTCATACAATAATAATCTAAATAGAAATTGCAGAAAATAAGTTATGATAGTTTGAAATGTATGTGAGCTTAATATCAAAGCTTCAATATATGCTGAATATGAGATACAAAAAGGTCTTGAAGTATTCAAAACCGACCATGAGATATGTGCAATGTTTATTATTTCCCTCAGGAAGTACTATGTTAATTTTCTGCACTTATCAATGATTAATCATCTCCAGGTTAACATGTCCTGCTCAAATAACCTTGAAAATAAATCTCACTATATTTTTGTTATTATGTTGTTCGTATATAATTCTAATACGTTTGAAAAGATTTTTATTTCATTTTTCTCTTTTTTTTATCAGAAACCAACAAATACAATGTAGTATCATATTCCAAGAAATTGCAATCTCAATTTCTTCAAATAAAAAAAGAATTGATGGAATGATCTTCCAGTAAATATGGATATATAATAAATAAAGATAATAATACATGTTTTGACTATTGCTCTTTATTTTGTTTTTTGGAAAGTCTGTAAAATCAATGACATCTTCAGCAGCAAGAGCAATGGCAATGTTTGTATCCGTATTGGGAATTATAATGATGCCACTCATCGTTGTTGGTCAAGGTGTATTTGATCCACCAACAATGACTGCAGCTGGATGTTCCGGTACAAATCAATGGACAGCATGGCTTGATGTTAGTGATCCAACTATAGCTAAAGGAGAATTTGAAGTTACAAAACATTTACAACAATTGTATCCATTAGTTATGTGTCCATCGCCGACTGCTATTGAAGTATGTAAATATTGCACTTATCATCAACTTTTATTTTCGACGACAGTAAGCTTAAAGTTGTAAGAGAAAATCTGAATATGCAAGTATAATCATTTACAGTAGTATATTATAGAAGATTTTTCTGTATTCTTCTATTAGACTCGTACAGTATATGACGCCGCTCCCGCATCTACGGGTGATGTCTTTAAACTAACCATCATCGATGGTTTAATGTGTTTGAATCCATTTGTAACCGGTTTTAAAAACAAAATATGCACTGATTATAAAGTACGATATTGTTGTCCAAGGACTACAATTGGTCAGATAACAACTCCAGTCACTCCTATTCGTGGTACATGTGGTAGACAGCAGATACAACCATATAGGCAACGAATTGTGGGTGGAATCGATGCTGTACCCAATTCCTGGCCATGGCTCGTTTCTCTCCAATTAATGGGTTCACATCAGTGTGGAGGTTCCCTAATTGACAACAGACACGTTTTAACAGCAGCTCATTGTTTAAATCAAAATCTGATCGGTCAGTATTCTGTTGTTGTCGGTATGCATAACCGTCTTAATCTAAATACTGGTTATACTCAACGTATTCCAATTCAACGCATATTCAAACACGAACAATACAATCCTGGTCGAGAAGACAACGATATTGCTATATTAAGACTAAGTGTACCTGTTACATTAAATCAATATACCAGTATTGTTTGTTTACCGGGACCCGATCCACCAGTAAATGCAAACGTCATTATTGCTGGATGGGGATTGACATCAGAAAGGGGACGTCTTAGTGACAATCTACGTCAAGCAACAGTACAAGTGATGGAACCACGTTGTTCACAAGTATATGCACCGTTTACTGTTGTCAAACAAATATGTGCCGGAAATAGTCAATATACAAAAGATTCATGTCAAGGTGATTCAGGTGGACCGTTGATGTACGAAGCGAACGGACAATGGTATATCAATGGAATCGTTAGCTATGGTGATGGTTGCGCAAAGGCTGGCTATCCAGGCGTATATACACGTGTAAGTTATTATTTATCATGGATCTACAGCAAATTGAATTCACCATAAATTATTAAGAACTATGCACTTTTGTTTCAAAACTATTTTTTGTTACTAATATACTTCTAATAAAATTATCTCAAAAAAACAACTAAATATATATATTATCGGAAGAACATAGACATTGACGTGTCGAACTGTATATCAGTTTTCTTGAAATTGTATGCCTTAGAGGAAAGAAATGCAGATTACAAAAGTATTTCTGCTATTATTGATTAGAGTTTATTTCGTTATGTAATGAATGTGACATGATATCATTTGGCTTGGAAAAACAAAGATACTTCTTAACGTCGTTCAACAGCTGTCTTCTGGTAATTGAAGTCGCTCTATATTATTTTCTTTTGAATTCAGGACCAAATCCACAATCTCACGATTTTAGTACTATTAATAATATAGTCCAAACGATTTTTTCTTACCGTTAAGTACGCAGTGATTGTTCATGTCACATTCGATGAAATACCACTTGTATGTTCATATGAGACAAGTTTATAATCAAAACTAGAACATTTAATTTTGCTTCGTTCGACGGTTGTTGATATTGTAATATTTCGGTAAAAAATTGGAAAAAAACTTCCAATATTGAGCGCTTCTTTACCAGTCCGTCCAGTATATTCGAGATAAAAATCAACAAGATCTGCCCAAAATGAATTTTATAGTATTGCTAAAAGTATGTGGAAGTCCTTCTTCTCTATAAACGTGATTCAGAAAATGGTGGTCTCCTTGATTACGTACGTTATGAATTTGAAGACGCTTCGAGTCTCTCCAAGTCCCACATAAACAGTTTATTGTAAACCGACTATTTATAATAAAAAATCGCAATATAAAATCTATTTCTCAAAAGACAAATATGCAACTTCAAATGATCACTACTAGAATGTTTCGAAACTGACGACGTGAGTTCAAGTACCGTATTTCGCTGGAGATCGCTAAAAAGAGACAAAATCGTACTTTGTGAGATGCAGGTGATCACTTTAGTCAATGGTTTTTATGACAGCAATTAAACGATGGCATTTGGATAAAACTTTTCAGGCTCTGCACAATGGAGGGACTAAAACATTGTCAATTCTTAGTTTATATATAAAGTTGGCGAAGTTATGCTGGAGAATAAACACATACTCTTTATCGATTATTAAAATAATTCTAGATAAATCCAGAGAGTTAATAAAAGAATATTATAAGAATGAATTAAAGCTTAAAATATTAAAGGACAGACATAATCCAGACATATATAAAAACAGCTGATGATACATTTCGATTAACATCGAAAGAACCTTATTGAAGTCAAAAAATTGATGTGAATAATCCATTGAAAATATGGTAAAATAAACTTGAAAATAGAACTGTGATAGAACTGGGACATGATTGATTGAAAGAGTTTTAACAGTAAGATACAAACTCAACACCTGTAGAGACACTCTTAAGCTAATATTTTAGAATATAACATTCATCTATTGCGTTAAGCATTATATTTATTTATTTATCCATTTAATAAATAGTATATTTACTTTGTTACAAAATTGTCCAGTTGACTTTTTTTTTATTATAACTTTAGTTTATATGCCTTTTTTTACTTACAGTAAACGTAAGAGTTTTTATATTTATTTTGTTAGTTGTCTCTCAAACGGCTAATTTCTTTCCAGAAATTGAACGAATGTGGTAGTGAGAACACAGCAACATAAACGAAAAAGTGATCGTCCAGAAATTTTAGTTATACTACAAAATACTTTTCAAAAGAATATCCCTCCTACAATAAAATGTTTGAGAAATGTTTCAGGCTTTGTCATATTGAAAGTGGCATTTACTCCTTTAGTCATCCCTTTATTTTTAGTAAAAATCAGCAATTATTTGAAAACGCGATTTTGTAAAAGCTAATAAATCATTGATTTAATTGATTTTGTTTGTTAAAGTATCATAGATCGTAATTGATTACAATATCTGACGACTACATAAAAATCAGAAAATCTAGTGCAATTTGTTTTAAAATCAACTTCTATTTATAGTAATTTAGTTATAATCACAATTATAACGTATTTTTAGATAATCTAATATTTTCATTCAAAACTATTTCATTGTTGTCATCATTGTACAAGAGAAATGGCAAAGGTTCTGATTAAAAAAAAAAAGACCTAACAACAACATTCAGTCATTTTTTTTTTTATAAAATATACTTTATCGATGAATTAATAAGACAGGAGTACGTGATGTTTATTAGAAAAGAAGAGAAAGAAAAAAAATATTCAAACTACATCCATACAAACTCCTATCAATAGTATTTATCTATGCTAAAAAAGTAAGTGGTTGTAAATATTTCTGGATAAAAGTGTTGATGTGTGTATATATCATCGACCATTAGAACTCAACATTTTTTTTTCTCTCTCTCTCTCTCTTTTCTCTTCTGTCACTTCCAATACTGGGGAAAATACATGTATAACAGTTTTAAGGTTGTATTCTCTAATCTCTAGTTTTTAGATATAGTTAAACCTTTCGTTTAAATTGTTGATCATATCATATGAAGATGTTGACAATAATAGATGAGAACACACGTAGATGGTTATAATGCCATATTTGATATTCATTATAAAGAATAACAACAGTGGAAATTAATATATTAAATGAGTCTACTTTCTTCAACTGAAAAGACTAAAGCGATTTCATCATTACAACAAATTTATCATCAAACAAAACGTTTGGTAAGAGAGAAAAATAAATATTCGCTAAAAAAAAATTTCATTTATTTAATGAACATATAAGAAGAAGAATGGGAGCTACTTGTACGCTGAAAAATTCATCCACAACTATTTAAATATTCTCTTGTAAAAATTAAAACCATCAATTGATTACTATTCTATAAATATTTTTGTTTAAATAAAAAAATATATAATGTATCATCATTTTAGAGCTCGCTGCGCAATTTTACAACAACAACACGAGAAGTGACATTATTTATAGAAAATCGTAGTACATTTACAATTCATTATGCACTATGGCCCCTTTTATCGTTAATATTACTAATTATCGGTGTATGGTTGAGTATTTATTTAATGACTACATTTTGTCGATCACAACATGGTCAACGAAAAAACTTTGCATCATATTATACAACACAAGAAAGCACTATGGGAGAAATAACATCAAAACGACCGACTCATCAAGAGAATGAAACATCGTCATGCGCCCAACATTGCGTTTAGTTCATGCCAATCACAATTGATAACGATAATAAATATATCATCCTTCGTTTTATAGCAACAACAAATAAAACCTTCAGTTTTACTGACAAGTTGATGAAACCGTCAATCAATCTCATCTTCTTTCTAAAATACGTATTCTATCGCTATATATCGATCAGTTGTAAAAGCAAGTAGTATTATTATAATCCCTTGGTGAAAAATCTTTCGCAAGTATGTGAACTAACACTTTAGTTATATTTCTTATACTAAAACAAATATAACTTTCTTTGTCTATCATTCCTTTGAGAATAGTGATCAAATGTAATTGTATCATAATGTGATCGAATGATAACTAGGCAGTAGTTTTTCTTCAGCCAGCAGAAATGATAAGGTAATCTGAAATGTGTGTTTTTTTATTTCACATTTGACACCGTTACCCATCATGTAAATACTGTCAAAGATAAATTTATATTGCTCTCTACATTGTAAGCGTTTAAAGTGTCATATGCATGTGTGACAACAATTGTTACCAGATTTTATATATTCATTCGTATACACAACAACAAAAAAGAACTAATTATTAAATTTATACACCCCATTCTGAGTGGTACATCATCTCTATATCTTCTCTTTCTCTTCATTTGTACAAATGATTGTACGCAATTGCCCACATATATTATCTCAGTACGATAAACAATAAAGTTCAGAAATTTATCACAGTATTAGAATAATATTGGTCTAAGTCAGATGCTGAAAATTTTGAAATATAACACACTAGATATTCAATTTTTTGTTTGACTCGATCTGATGATGATGAATAATCATTAGTGAATGAGCTATAGATCCACACGTTAGTCCTTTCGAAATTCAAATTTGTAAAGAAATGAAATTCAGCTCGAAAATTGTTGTTTCTGGCGAAAAAGGCCATTTAGATGACCATTTTTTTGTTTTCAACGAAAAAATTATTTAATTACTTCATCATATTCTTAGAAATCATCGATGTTTTCTTCAAAACCGAACGGTCTTCTTTGATCCATTCCTTTTGTATCCGAATTCCTTCATATTCAGCTGAAAACATGATTTCGATACTCTTGTCTTTATATCTTTCGAATAGAAGAACGCCAGGAACTCATGATTGTCTCACCTTGTAATGAAAAGTGTGCATAACACGATGAGACATATCAGAACTCTATGGATCTTGGGTTACGGAGATATGTCAATAAAATAGAGGCATATTTTGTTTAAAAACAGGAAAACTTTCAAGAATAGTGTTGAATATCTTCGCAATATCTCCTTAACTAAGAGCTTTAGAGATTCTGACATATCTCATCTTGTTAAGCACATTTTTCATCACAACATGAGACTATCGCGAGCTCATGAAAGACATAAAAACAAAAGTGTCAGAATCACATTTTCGGCCGAGTAACGTGGAGTCGCCATGCATTTACAACTTTTTTTTTTACAGAAATAATAAAATCCAGGCAAAAATTTCGTACATTAATCGTTCAGCCTAAAGCAAATACAATTATGGAATGATCAGTACATTTTGCATATTATGAAGTAGATACCTCTGTTTTACGGTCACGCTAATTACATTCACTTAGCTGATGCACAACATGGAAAGAACAACAGTCACTAACCGTAGAAATGTTTTCATCGTAAATTTGACAGCTAGATGTACAAATGCATCCCCATTTTCATTCTTGGCATCAATCTGCCGACGAAGATTAGCATGTGCATGTTACAACTGCAATACTTGTAATCCATCATCATGAGTGAAAGTTTTTCTCATGGCTGATGTACCTGAATCTATTTTTTGTTTGTTTATTCAAATGAATCCTTATAAAACAAAATATCTGCAGATAGAAAATAGTAGACAATAAAGATCTTTCTCACCAAGACTTTTTTAGTAGTAAAAAAAGAACTACACGAAGAAAAACAGTAGAAGCCTTGCAAAAATCCAAGGCTGAGCGAGTTCGGATTCAAACTATTTTTTTGTGGACTGGGTTCTTTTAAGGACCCGGGACTCATCCTGGTCTGTAATTACAACGGTTTATGATATTCTATGGCAGCGAGTTTAGCAAAACTCTTGATTAAACTATGAATCACCAAATCTTCTAGATTTTTGCCATCCACTTTATTCAGAACGTTGGTCGACAACTTTTCTATACAGTATCTACTTTCATAGGAATAATAACCTGGTCACATTCCCTTTGAATTTTATCTGAACATATAAACACTACAGATATGAACGGACAAACGTGGGTAGTGCTTGAATCAGTTATGTCTCTTTATTTTGTCGTATAATTAATAGACTGGTAAAAATCTCTTATTTTGTGAACTTTTTGTTGCATTAGAAAATTGAAAGTGACTGGATGAAAGTTTTAGATAAAACTCATGCGTAGATCAGGGCTTTCGAATCTCTTTTCCTTCTTTCGATTCTCATTACTGTTACTGTACTATTTACTATTCGTCACTATAAAAGGCGCTATTTTTTTAAACATTTACGCAACAGTGGCAAGAATCAGCGTTTCTGATTACAAAGTTGTACGCACACTTTTATATTCAAATATAATAAACTTTGCAGGGACGGTTGGTCGATTTAAAGAGAACGATATTGATTTGGAAAGTCACACTTACGTCAAATTTTAACTTAAGTTTTTTCGTGAAACGAGCCCTTGTTGACTAATGACTCATTTTTATTCCTCATAATATAGACAATGAAAAGACAAATAGAAAAACAGAATTCTAAAAAATTTCTTGCGACTAGCTCGGTCATCATAAGATGTGATATATAGATGTGTATGGTGTGACAGAACGATGACATTCGAGACAGATGTTAGAGAATAAGTATGAACTTCAAGATTAATGAGTACAACAAGAAAAGAGAGAATCAATTTTTTCACTATTCCCAGCCCTCCTGTCATTCAGATAAAAAACAATAAGAGTAAAAAAATACATCAATGCCAACAAATCCTGGAATCTGTTTTCTTATGAAATCTTGTCTCAGGATCTGGTAAGATCCTGCGGACTATTCTAACTCCTTGTCAGAAGATCTTACGTGACAAGATCTTGTAAAATCTTGCCATTGAAAGGCGTGGCTTATATTTATTTCTTATTGATTTTGCAAGAAGTGATAACTCATTCTTACCGCATAAATTTTGCTATAATATATAGTACATATAACTACAACATCATTTTTATGACTAGATTTAGAAGTTTTTGATGATGAAGTTCTTTTGATTTAGAACGCATCGCATATACTTTGGTTGAAACGACAGAATGTACATATATATTTAGCATAAAATTTTCACTAGAATGGCTGACAAGAATGAGATTCGAAAGCCCTAGAGAGTGTTTCATAAAAATTGTTAAGTGCTAGACTTAAGTCGTCATTTTGTACACTTACGTGTTAGTTTTATACACTTAAGTCTAGACTTAGTTAAGTTGAGTGCTTAAGAATTTTTATGAAATACCCTCACACAAAGGAACGGAGAGAAAGATCACTACATGTAATGTATTCTACTGGTATTTTCCCAATTGTTGATTTAACAGTATAAACAAAACAGATACAAATATTTCTTAAGAAACCGAACAAGAACCAAAGAAAAACAAAGCGAATATGGAGAACAAACTATTTGCTACACCGTCTGTGGTTTTTTGTGCAACATGACTGTATTGCACAGCAGTTCTCTTCTTCTTCTCCTCCGCTTTTTTATTGGTCCAAAATGTCGCTAAAATCGATACAGGAAAACAATTGAAAATCAGGAAAAAATCTTAAAAATTAGCTCCTGAAGTCAGGAGAATTTTCATCAGCAGAAAAGTCAAAAAATCAGGAGATTTGGGCACTCTGCTTCTGATCTACGCATGGGTTTTTCTAAAACGTTCATTCACTCATTTACAATTTTCTATGCAACAAAAAGTTCACAAAATGAAAGATTTTCATTAGTCTATTATTAATTAAAGCAAAAAAACTCAGTTATTAACATTCTACTTCTGTTCTTTAATGTCTTTACTTACGCTGCTACACTCATCGATAATCTCAATTTTCTTGAACATTTAATTATTTCATCAATTGGAAAGCGGAATCATAGACGTCGCTAAAGCTCAGCGTATGTATTATTCGTCATGCTCGACAAACTGCTGTGTGGCACTTTAGTCGGTATTTTGTAACATAAATGGAAATATAGTAATTTAAACTTTAAAGAAAGTGATTGGATAGTCTGTTCATGAAAAGTGATTGTGGGACTCTAATAACAATAGCATCCCCAAAACAGGATGCGCCAAAAAACCAATATATATATCTTCAACCAGGTACTGCTGGGAAATTTATAAAGAAAATATTTTTGAGATGAACGCCTTTTCATCAAATTTCAAGTCTGTCACTAGACCATTATAATCAAGTCCTTTGTTTAGTGAAATGAAAAAGTATGTCGTATATCTCATTTTCGCGCAAATTATCTGCCCCCAAGTCGACTTTTTGCTTGATTCGTGGTGCGATCGCGCTTTGTGACTAACATAGTCTGGCGCAGTCGCGTCGCGCGTACGCCATTTGTCTGCATTCGCGATAAAAGTAGCGTTGCTCATGTATTGATATTAGACAAGAAACGTGAATAAATGGTGACTATAGCAAAATACTGGAGAGTCATTGATTTTTGTATGAGCGCGAAAAAATAGTGATCGCTAAAAATCGCGTGTAATTTCGCGAGTTCTTCAGCAGACGCGCTACGCGATCATGCCGCGATTTTTTCAAGAGACTCCCATCGCCACATGCGATAAGAAAGTGGATTTGGGCCATTTTAGCAGATGTAGAGCAAAGCAACTCTTGATCGCGTGAAGCTTCAATTCTTAGTGCTTTCAATGTTTCACATGCGACTGTTGCAACCCATTTTCAATTTTATTATAGTTTAGAAGAGGCGGTAATCTACCTAAAACTCCGATATGCAGCAAGGGATCTGGATAGCTTGAGTGAGCAGTATGACTTACGGAAAATGTGAACAGGCATCTTATAGATTGTTTATCTATGCTAAGACATTATACTCAGTATCTCTCTTGCTTCATGAACCTCCATAATTAGAATGAAAACGGTTTTATAGTTACACATATATATGCACATACAGAACTTTTTCTTTTCTTTCTTATGTTCAGAAAAATGACGAAAAAAAGTAATTATTGCTTGAAACCAAAATTGATTGCATGTGAGAAAAGATGATGAAGTCTATTTTGTATCACATAGTAATGCCACACCACGTAAACACCTAAAACACAAAAAGAAGATTCAGTCAAGCCAGTGCCTGTCTTTGAACGTGTCATGTTACCAAAAGTCTGGATTACTGTTGATAATTTTCAGTGATAATGAAAATATGTACGTTAAATCTGTTCGTCTGGGTTTCTCGTAGACAGGGCACACGTAATACGAATTACCCAATGGTTTTGGTTCATTTGTGGCATAAATCTAACGGATTAAAGAGTGAGCTTTAAAGCAGTAAAATGGGACACAACTTACATGGACAATAGGTAAATCAGCATACAGTTGTTTCGGTGGTGGATCACACAGATGTCCGCCTTTCTCACGAGACATTCTCCATGCTGCACCATCAATTTTTAAACCATAAACGTAGACACCTTGAAGCAGAGAAAATGGATATTTTTCTCCTCTGCTTTTAGAATTTATACAGCAGTAACAACTCTCAAAAATACCTTCTCCTGGCGGTTGTGAGACTTCTTCTTTTGTAGCCATTTTCATCACATCATTCGCCAATACAACGCTATCTAATGACCAACCTTTGTGGTTACGTGTGATTTCTTGCCTCATGGCTGTTAGAAAACCCTATAAAAAGAAGTTGTGCTAAATACAAGATGAATTATGAGGCGAGTCTTCAATCCGCATACTTGTGGATTAAAAAAGCCCGTTAACCAAAAGGCACTTGGTCTCCCAATGAATAACCATGCATGAAATTGCGCATTACGATCTAACAGATCACTAAACCAAAAACCAAGCGTTGCCGAATCCCACGAAACTTTGCGCCATGTGCCCGGTACTCGTGCATCATAAATATTGTCCAATGCATCTTTCAGATTCTCATTCATAATAATTGTCCCATCAATGGCTAGTTTCAAATCTTTCAGTGTATTACGTACAACAGTGATGACACGTTGCATTCGATCAACCTCTTGTTTCAAGAATATATTCAACGGTTGTAATGTACCTTGTTTTTGTAAAGCGCCACGTACTTCATGTGGGGTGTAATCTTCGGGCAATTTGGATAACATATCGTCACATTGCCTATATACAACTGCTTCACGTGTTTCTCCACCACCAGCTCCAGCATCTTTCGGTTGAATGTTGACTATAGTTGCTAGTATACTATCAGCTGTATTTGTCTGATATGCAATATCAGCATTTGGATGTAATCCAAATACATTTGGACTGTCAAATAGACTCATTTGGTCTACATGATTGCGAAACTCTTGTATTGTTTTACATCTTGGTATTTTATAATTTTGAGCAAATTCAAACTTATCTGTAAACATATTATCCAGAAACCATACGCGTGTATAAGTATTCAACAAACGTTTATCAAAATCGTCCGTCACACGTCCACCGTAGTGCACTTCGCCTATCATATATCGCACAGTCGGCCACGATACATTCCATTTTGAGCCCATTTCATCCATATGATTTTGAACAAATTGTATCGTTGCAGAAAAGTCCGATTGATTAAACTCGTACGGAATATTCCAGCCCAACGACCCAAATTTACGACGTTCTTGCACAGTTGTATGAAGAAAAGCAACGGCATACAACATGACTTTCCATTCGAAAAGTGCACTAACATCAACAACTTCCTAAAAGCATTACCGACTAGTATCATTCACTCACAGCTGCCTCTCACTCTACTTACTTGTGTTAAACCAGCAAACGTTCGCTTCAGACCCGCTTTGACACCTTGTGGAGGTTCATAGGTGTACTTGATAGACGACTGCAGTACATTAATGGAAAATTGCGCATGTGGTTCTGTGGTTAACCAACATCGAAACGCATCATTCACCGACTCAGTTGTGGTGATCGTCTCCAATAGTTCTTCCAGAAATCCTAAACCCAAATGACAGTTTTGTAATAATATCCATTTTCCTTCTTGTTGACTTTGTTGTAAAAGACGACGTGCATGAACCTCTTGTCCTTGACCCATTGATATTGTACCACAGCTAATGTTTTGTTTTTTCGCCAAACTTAAAATATTATCCGTTGGATCGGAACCCATTGATAAGAAACACACTAACGGTATACGCTTTTCACTCTCCTGCCACATAGCATCCAGATTCAGTATATATCCTTCGGCATACTGAATACCCAATGATTCACCGATGTACTTCTTAGCCATCGGTAATGTTCGATCGGGTGCAAATGAACGTATCAATAGCAACTTTTTAAATGTATCAAGAGTTGTGGAATAAGATTCGGGGAATGTGACTTCTTCTGGGGCATCTGACAAATACCATTGATACCATACTTTATCATTTCCCACTATCTGTCGTAAAACTTGTGAAAAATGTGCTAATTTACTTAATTCAACTAAATTCAACCACGTCATGTCAGCCAGCCATTTCTTCAATCTATCAGGTCGATATTCAACCGCATTCATATCCAGCGCGGCACCACCTACAATCGAACTGCATTTACCTCACTTTATGAACAAGAAAGACGATGACCATTACCTTTGATGAATACTTGAAATTCTGATTGTTTGACATTGCCTTTTTGCATATCGATTTTTAATGCCAACAACAGTGTATACAACGTTTTGTCCCTTTCATACAATCCACGACTGCTGTATTTCCATACCTCATAAGTTAACGAATCAATGATACTTTGAATACGTTTTACTGTTATCGGTGAAGCTGACGCTTTTTGTCTAAAATAGAAATCGAATCATACTACTACACAAACACAAACGCTGCTGTGTTTCTACCGTCCAATTTCAAATAAACCTAAAAACTGTTTTAACGATGTCTGATACATGACATTGACCATGGACATTTCGACAATTAAAAAGTAGACAATTGAACCACGCGTAGCAACAGGACGAAATTCTTCTCTTGCTGCATTAATCTTTATTTCTGTTTCTGCAGCAATCGTCAGCTTTTCATTGACCTCTTTCGACGTTGCTTTTGTATCAGCTAATACTTGAATCAACGACTCGTCCTCAACTAAAGAACCTTCTGTGGATGTTAAACGAAGCAACAAATTATCTTCCAATTCTTTTGTTCGACGTTTGTTCAACGTTACTTCTTCTAACAGACGAGTACGTTCCGCTTCGAGCTCCTAAACATTTATCTTCGGTCAAGTCAATTTCTGGTTCGTCATAATCTTCATTTCTTACCGCTTTCTCTTTCTGAATTACAATGCCTAGCAATTGATCTTCTAGACCCTTCATTGTGACAGTAAAATCAATGATAGATGTTTTAGCATACACTTCTGGCGTATAAAATGGATTGGCTAATTTTGTTGTGATATACAACTTAAATCCATTCATAACATCACATTCTTTATCTCCTACTTTCACCTTCAATGTTGAGCCGGATTTTATGTAATTCTTCTCTAAAACATTGTCCAATGCCGGATCCAGGTCTTCGCCGACATCCTCAATTATCAACGGACGACCTAGTGATAAAGCATCTTCCAAATGAGTTCGGAAATATTTATGATTTAAACTCGTGATCTAAACAAGAACACCGAACATCACAAAAAGAGTTCGAGACCAGCTCAACAAGCGGATTTGCACCTGTAGATCTTTTTTTTCTTCTTTATTTCTAATCCATGCTTTGCCTTGTCCTTGAGGATCAACTAGCAATGGGAATCGGGCTGCTGATGTCACAATAAGACCATTTTGAATTGACAGTTCATCATTTGGCAAGCCTTGTAAATTCCATTCACTTATTGTTGCATTATGGACAAGAAACGAAATAATATTCAAATCCTGAAAAGCAAAAATATCAAACTCGAATCTTTGTTCAGTGATTGTCGATGCAAACAGTACACACTTCTGTAAATGGTACTTTTCGTTTAACCATATCTGTTCGCCATTGTCTTATTAGAATAGTACGAAACTCTTGGTTGAATGGGCCCGTATAGCTTAAGAATCCCGTGGCTAATAGTACATCACCAATAAGACGATTAATTTGTGCTTCGAAGTTTCTTGATGCTTCGGTCCATCGAACACGTTCACCAGACAGACCATCAATTAACGCCGATGCATTATGCATTTTACGACGACAAGCATCTGCCTCAGCTAGTAACGTCTGAAAACGAGACCTCCAGTTAAATCTATTATTAGAGAGCGAGCCGATAGAGTGATACCTGTTTAATTATATTCGCTTTATCAAATTCAGCTTGTACAACAGCGACTTCAGCCATTTTAGCTGCTAATTGGTCTTGTGCTGCATCATAGTCGTTAGTGGCTTTTTGTAAACGACTTTCCTGAATCGCTAAATTAGCCTGAAACCGAACGGCTGTCACTTGTATGAAGAAAACCATTAATCTATTGAAACTCACCTTTAATGGCAACACTTCTTTATTAATTCCGTAAAAGTAGGCCATAGCTAGTGTCCATGAACATAATCCGGCAACATTTCCTGATACACGCTTAGCTGTATCCATATTATAATCTTCCATTAATAAATAAGGCTGGAGTAGTTCAACCGTTTCTTCGTTGATTGTATCCTACAGAAGAAAGTTTCAACATCACTCGACTATATTCATTTCGCAGTCACCTACTTTTGGAAAATGAACCAGACTATTCAGAAAATCATTGCCACCCATTAATTTCAACGCACTACTCCAAGAAGGTTTCGGACACGATTTTTCAGCGTCCATCGATATTGGATCAAGAGACTTTTGAAACAATAACAGCACACTATCCATAATTCGCATGATTAAATGGGGTGGTTTTCCTAACTTTTTGACAGTCGATATATCTGCTGGTTTAATTGTTTTTAACGCAGCTTCGGCTTCTTCTAATGCTGGCCGAGCCACTTCCAATGTACCTTCGGCTACTGCTTTATCAGCGGATATTTGATCGACTAATTCTTTACAAGCATCCGCTACACGTTGTACTTGCTCCGCAACTTTAGTGGCTGCCGATTTCTTAATATTAACATCTTGCATGACCAAATCTGCTTTTTGATTCGCCACTAATAACTCTTTTTCTTTTACTTCCAATTCTTTTGCCAGCTCACGAACTTGATCAGCTGCTTCGATCAACTTTTTCAAACCGGTATTCATACGCTCAGCAAGCTTTCCGATATCTTTTCGTTTTTCAGAATAAATCGATTTGTAACCAGCCAAAAACGACAAATACGATTTAGGTGTTACATGAGTTTGACGACGATAACGGTTAAAATAATCGACACACGCCTCAGCTACTTGATCTTGAACTTCGCCCATCATAACAACGAGTTCTTGTTTCACCTGAGGAGTGCAAATAATTTCAAAATTTCCAATAAAATATTTCGAGACGGCGATGAGCGCATCTTTTGGCCACCGTTGAAACCAATCCATCGTACATCCGGATATTAACGCTGGAAATTTCAACGAACGACTACGAAATTTCTCTCCAACCTAGAATTAATATCAAATATCGTTTTTTCCATCAATTACTGTTAATCTCTACTTACTGGAGAGAAGCATAGCACAACGTGTAGGTTATTTCGAACTCGTGTTAGAAAATAATCGTATAGAATTTCATTTGTTGGCGCACGTTTTGGAAACTCTTTTCTCATTACCGGTGTCAGTTCACCTAATATTTCGTGAATTTCATCACGAGCAAATAAATTCGATACTTCACCACTAGCCAAAACATTATTCATATATTCGAGAAATGATTCATCTTTGATCTCATTATCCGTAAATAGAAACGTCACACCTTTTCCTTTTTGACCTGCAGTACGATACAAGTTTTTCAAATCTTCCATCAAATTCGTGACATTGTAAGATCTAGAACGACTAACGTTGATAGGCCTTACAATAGAAAAGAAATTTCTTTACCTTGTCAATGTGATCTGAAACGTTTGATAACCGGCAATGTATGACGCTAAACGTGTCAGTGATTGTTTCCCTGATCCCCCGACGCCCACAAGCAAAGCGCAGCCTCTCGGGGTGCGAATTATTCTTGATATTTTAATCAAATGTGTCATGGCATCTTTGAAAAACACTAAATCCATTTTACCACCTTTCATCGTTTCATTGTATTGTTGTTGATATTGCTCTAGTTTTCCACTAAGTGCTTCGAAAGATGAAATGGGTTCATAGACTTTTGGTGCCACCAACTCAATACCTTCGTTTTCTTCGCCTGAAAAATTCCACATGTGATAGTTATCCAACAACTCATCATTATCTTCGACTCACCAGTCACTTCTGGTGCATCCCGAAGAAAATCGACAAAATATGGTTCTTGTTGCATAATTGTGGTGTTTGTTCGTCCACATTCTTCTTCAGCGACGAGTTTCAACATTTTCTCAAACCAGTCTTTATCATCTTGTGAGACAAAACGATCGGCAATCACACGATAACATTCATGTTTCCATAATGACATGATCACATTCGGTTTTATACCAGCAACGTCCGATGTTATATTTAACATTCCCTTAACAAGTTGATTGGGCTTTGTAGTACAATTAAACAAATCTCCCAGCAGAGTACTTTACCTGCCATATCCTTGAGAGATCACGTAAATTGAACACATAATGAAATTTAGCAGGTGTGGGTAACATTTTCACTTTGGTTTTTTGCCATAGTTTTCGTGTAGCTGGCACAAGTTTCTCAATAACATTGATGGCATCTTGGTTAAAACCACGCTCCTAACAAAAGGAAAATAAACAGCTTAAATGAAATAGCTAGCATCAATCACCTTACCGCACAAAAGTAGCCACGTCCGATGGCACTGAATATTTTGTCTATGGATGCATTTGATGGTAGTGTACAATTGAATATACAAAACTGCCGTTTTAGACGTTGAGGTATGTCGTTACGACCTCCACCTAAGTGATCCAAAGGAATTAAGAAATCGATTTGCAAAGAAGCTAAGACAAACTTACCAGGTTGAATCATGGCAGCTACAAATTGGATATCGACAATGTTTGTAAATTCACCAGGCTTTTCCAAATTATAAAACCCATTTTGTTCCATAACTTGACGAGTTATCTCATTCGTCACCTTTTAATAAGTAAAACATACGGGTCAACATTCGCTGAGGTGATGTCTTTTCACCAAACAACTGCGTACCTGATCACCCCATTCGTTAATAACAGGCATGTTGATATCATCAATAAATACTGTCATTTTCTTGCCACCCGGTGGGCCGTAAGTGGTGCCAACGCGTTTATCAACGTAGCTTTCAATTGTTCTCTAGAGAGAATAAAAGGAAGACTTCAGGCACACATCACTCAACCAGTGAGAGATTAGTTCGTACCTGAACCATCGTTGCTGTTGTTGCACTTGAAAAGTTGACATTTTTAAACGATTGTACCTCTGGATTATATTTTGAACAATAACTTTTAACAATAACGGTTTTAGCCGTGCCCTATACAAGAAAATAAAATGTGGATGACCATACCATCGACTTTTTCTCATCTTCTACTAACCTGTTCACCAATTAACAGTACCGCCTTTTCTTGTTTAGCTATTATATGTATAAGAAAATCTGTTCGAACATTGTCGACATTCGGTACAAGTATAGATGAATATTCTGGTATTGTATCCGTTGGATAAATGTATTCAGGTACAAGCGTTGACCAATGTACCCATTTCCCATTTTCACCCACAACAAATTCAAACATTGTTTCTTCACCCTTTACACACACAGGCATGCACATAGCTGATATAGTTTAAATCAGAACAAACCTACTTTAACTGCTGGTAAATCGAGTAGATGTTTGGAAACAACGAAATCTTCTAACTTTTTTCGATCAAAGAATTCGAGTAAAGCACCAAGAGACCACATTAGTGCAAATACATAATAACGACCGAGCACATCGGGTGCCGATTGTTTATCTTTATTGATAAGACCTTCGAGAATGTCCAGCGACTGACGAGTGTACATACACTCCAATATCTTAAACCAGCAAAAACATGTTGTGCAAAGAAACACATGATTAACAAATGCTTATTTACCTGCATTTTTGGTTCTAAACTCTGGACAACATATGAATAAGCCTGTGGAAATGTCTTAGTGTATAGGTTCAACAGAATATCGGTTTCACTAGCTGGACGTTTCAAAAGCCAACCTAAAAGACGAAATGGATAGTCTCGAGTAACGTTCTGCTCTTTCCATATACCATTGACGATCGGCTCCCAATTCATAACAGATGACGACATAAAAATCATTCCGTTTCGAGATACAGTTGCTGGTGAGGCATTATCGATATTATGCACTTCAAAGATAATTTTACAATTCGGTGCCATTGGTATTCGATCGCCATTAGCTAATGTCAACGTTTTGTTGTCGTCCAGAACAGAGTTTAAGTTTTCAATCCATATGGCATCAACAGGCCCATCGAGTATGAGCCACACATGATCACCCTGAAATAACCGACAGAAAAAGGTGATCTATATACTTACGTTTGATTGAGATATGCATACTTTTTTTGTTTTTAATGTCCTTCTCCATAGCGTTGAAAATATACCATCTGTCCAGTCATTAGTGGCTACATCTAATCGACCAAACATTTGCGGTGCCGTTATAGCTTTCGGATTCATGCGCATCTCACGGTGTGGTGAGCCACATTCGGTCATGGCTTTCATTAAAATGGCAATACATTTCGATTTTCCTGCTCCACTGGGGCCTAGTGTCATCATGCCATGTCGAACACGTTGTGTTTCGTACAACTGAATTAGTTTTAATACCCATGGTGGATGATGAATTAGTTGAGCTAAGTCAGTCTAAAATTAGAATGGACAAATCAATCAGCATCCGAGATTCTATTTCCCTGATGAAAACCTGTGTTCTGATGGCTGCTTCTATCTCCGGATAACCTTTCGATTCTAGTTGAATGCCAGTAAATAAATCATCGATTAGGGACATGAATAACGGTTCATCTTCATCGATCTAAAGTATTGTACAAACTGTTTATTTCCATTCAAGTGCTTTTGACATTACTTACTAATTTTGACAGGTTCATATCTCTCAGCACTCTCATCATTGTTTTTTCCTCTGAGTCATTTGGATTTTCACGTTTAAATGCACCCAATGTACGTAAAACAGACAGGATATTTCTTAAACCAAAATCATAATGAACCTAAAACCATCAGTAGAACTCTCATCTTTTACGAGGGAAGGGAGCAGGTTTTCGTTCCACTCACTTGTTTTGTTAACTGTTCTTCACACAACTTGTAGAGTGTGAAGAATTTTTTCGACAACTTAATGTTTTGTAAAAAACCACAACTGGCTAATTTTACACGTATAATAATAGCACGATCAGGTACCATCATAGCCACTGTTCTAAAATTAATCTTCAAATTTTCCGGTAACTCTTGACGACCAGCATAACCAGGATTCTAAATTAAAATAACAAAAACTTTCAGTGTAGTGGAATGTACTGCGAAATGCAATACCATTGTTAAAAATAGACCAAACTCCATATCGAGCTCAACGATATCACCATCCGTGAATACAAACGATGACTTCTTTTCCTTTTTGCATCTTAGCACAATATCAATCTGTTGTGCAGCTACTGATAAGACGGGTAATTCAATTCGATTGAACTCGTCGAAACAACCCCAACTACCAGATTGCGCAAGGCCTTTGTAAATTCGACCAAGACCGCGATAATCCATTTGATCCGAACAATTAAATACAACCACAAATTTTCCTAGACAACGACCCATATCTTTCGTTGTCTCCGTTTTACCCGTACCTTAGAAACAAAACAAAATCGAGTTTGTTTCTTGACAATCACATCAACTTACCGGCCGGTCCTGCAGGCGCTCCACCAAGGGACATGTGCAGCGCTTGAGCCAATGTTATATAACATCTATCTGTTAATGGTGTAATAACTAGTCGCTCGGTACATCCGAGATATTCGTTCATATATTTAAAATCAACATCTGTTATTGATATCCGACATACGTCAGCATCTTCATCAAAATAGAAACGGCACTGTCTTACCCAATCAAATTCTAATGGACTACGACATTTGCTGGCAACCTATTCAATGCACGAACAATGATGTACATGTCGTCTGAGGGAGAAAATACACATACCAATTCATCAAAAATATCCTTTTGATGTACATGAATTGTAATGAGAGTTTCGAGACGTGTACGTTCTATTTTTGATAAATCTTCCATTGTTTTATTAATCAGAGCATTGAGAATATCTAAAAATTTTTTGGCTGTATCAGTCATTATTTTCTTATCGACCTTTGTATTGTTCAATGCAATTTCTGAATCACGCGTCCACAACATTTGTAAACCAAGTAGACCAACCTATAAAGATCGACTGTTCATCGAAGAAAACTCTCGCGTACGGATATTCATGCACACATACCTGGGCTGGAAAACTGTTGATGAAATCGATTAAATTGAACTGTGGATCTTGTATTGCAGCCGCTCCTTCGCGTATAACTTTATGCACGGATGCACGTGACATTTTTAATAAATCACCAAGCCATACTTCAACGTTACCCTAAATACACGCTAATTGTCATTCTTGTGATTTAAAATCTAGAACATTCGTGAACTCACTTGAGCATTGACTGGCTCTTTTAATTGTACCGTTTCTCCTTCTTGCGAATTGATTTCCAATATTTTATCATAGATTTTCTCATCGAATGTCACCGTTTTTGTATTATCAAACACATTCAACAGATGATTTTGTATTGTATGTGAATCACCCGCTTGTCCCAATATTTCTAGTAGAGCTGGATCAGATACGAAGAAAAATCTCGGAAATACAAGACGTTTCTTTTCTAGATAACCCGTTAATGATTTCTGACATAATTCTAATTGTTCAAATAAATGTGGTAATAATTGCGAAAGCGTATCATCACTTGTACAGCAACTGACAACGTTTAGATTTTCACGAGCACGTTGCATAATTTTTTGCCAAGATTTATCAATATTTCCAAAACGTTTTGCTTCTTGTGGCAATTGTTTGGCAATATCTCCACCGACAAACACAGCTTCGAGATAGATCCACAGATTTTGTACGCTGAGCCATTTTTCAATAATTTCTGTAGTAGATGTTAATTTTTGCAACCACTCTTGAATTTTTTTCTTGAACGGCGCATTATATCGATTGCTCATCAGAGACCCTAATATCATTAAAGAATCTTCCATCAATGCAATTATTTCCGATGTCGCATCACCTTTCAACAATAATTCACCACGATTTTTAAACGATGAAAATGTAAAGTTTTGATTGCCCCAATCATTAATAACTTGAGTTAATTTAGCTTCAATATCTTTTTCTTTGATAGCCGATATACAAATATCCTAGAAAATAGTGGAACACGCCGTTTATGCAATAAGTCGATCAAACGGTGATCGACCTAACCCACCTCAATATCGTCTTTGTGTTTTAGCAATGGTGCCGCCATAATATCTCTCAACAAGAAATTATCCGATTCAACATCGAACTTATGTCTCGTTAAATTTGAGATACGTTCCCAATGTCTGGGTTTCATCGATTTATTAGCCATCATTTCCAATAATGGGCATGTCTCATTAAAATCATCAATGGTCTTTTTTAATTCATCAAATGCCTGATATTCTTTAAGGCCTTTTGGCAGTTTTCGACAACGATCCTGAAAATCCAGCAGATCATTATTAATCTTCTCGATGTCCACATCAACCCACGGTATATCATAGTAACCATTGATTGTATCAATGACAATGTTGTATAAACCATACAATTTTTGTAACAAACCCAGCTCCTGAACAACATGAAAGATACCGATAACGTTTAAAGAATGACAGAACACTGAGCGTTTACCCGTTTAATTCTCGCTAAATCTGGATAATCAGTCACGGGTAAACCAAAGAGCTCTTCTCCAGCACTGTACGTTTCAAATTTTTGCCATAACTCATCAAGTTTCACTTGAAATATTGTCAAACGATCGCTTGCTTCCCGTGGCTGTGTACCACAAACCGTCGGTCCTTTTTCAGCATAATCAGAAACAAACAGTGTCACATCTTGTTGAAAAACGGTCACATTATTTAATAAATCATTCTTGAACTCCGGTTGAATTGCTAATAAATGAGATTGAACTTCTTTGCCCTGATGACAAAAAGGAGTTTAGAGGTGAGCATGTGCATGTATCATTGTTAGTCTTACTTGCTGTAAACATTTTCTCCATGCGTATTGCAGTGCATCAACCTTTTCTGGATTTCCATCATTGAATGATATTTCATATTTATACAACATTACATAAGTTTCTTCAACGGGTGTTATTGTTTGGTCGATCAAAATTTCATTTTGTCTTATTTCACTCAGTGCATTCATGTGCGCACGAACATCATCCAAATCTTTGCATGGCCGAATCAGACGTTTTTGAATATCTTCAACTTTATCAAATATGTTTTGCATATCTTGCGATGCTTTGTCGTTCAACGCTTTGGCATAAGACATTTTCCAATTATTTATTTCCGTTTTTAGACCACGTTTCAGCTTATCGGTATAGAAGACAATCGAACCAACTTGATACGATTGGGGAAATTCTAAGAAGCAGATGGTGCAGATGTGAGTACGTACTCTGCACTAGAAAATGTTTCATAACCAAAACTGATGCATACCGTCAATTTCAAACTCCATTCGACGATAATGTTTAAACAATGCTTCGAAATCGACCATTAACGGTTTGGAATCCATAAACGCTTTTACGGTTGAATCTGGCTCCTAAAACCTCATCAAACAAGCGATTGTTGTATACATTCATACGCGGTAATATCCTACCTTTTCCCATAATTCCGCAAACCCCGTGAAGTTCTTCATCATCTCTTGAACATCCGGCTTAAACGTGCTTATAGCCGCATTAAGCGATAGGACGACTTTTTTGACATCATTGTTTTCCGCAATCACCTAAAGTAACGATCGCAAGTGGATAAAGTTTTAGTAGTTTAAAACAAAAGAATTACTTTATGTAACGGTTTTGGTGCTTTAGCTTGCACAGCAAGTTTAGCATCTTCACCTTCATCCGATGCTTGTTTTTCGATGTCCTAAAACAGAAAAATGAACAATAAGAATCGACATCACTCTTCATTTACTATGTCTCGCCGGCTTAAAAACTCAGCAGTTACATTTAACCGTTAAATAAAGATGTTTTCATTATCCGGCTCAAACTAGTTACAGTAATCGACTCTCTGATCCTGCAGTTTCCACCAAAAGTGTGCGCGATTCACAGGCAATCTGAAAACATAATGTGAATGATGGGATCACGCGCTCTGGTAGAGACCTACTTTGACCATAATTTCTTTCAACTTATGCGCATGATTCCATTCTGGGAGTTCATTTCCAATCCGCAGCATTATATGTGCTGATTTATTCAATTGTGATTGCATATCATCTAAACTTGGTTTAACCAAAACGTTCGGAATTGATAATACAACATCAGTGCGAAATAATGGATTTCGAACCTGTTCCCGTAAAACTTGCTCGCCAACATATCGTATCGGCTGTTGTAAACGCTTACGAACCGATTCTAATGAACTTCGAGTACCTGGAATGACACCAGACTTACTTATATAGATGCATGAGTGGAACTAGACAAAATACGTACACTGTATGAGTGCATCGATACTTTTATTCCAATATGTTGTTAAGAAGTTGAAGAAGGCGCACGGTTGACATTCGTTGCATCTTGATCCTTTTGTGTTCAACGGTAATTTTACGGTGCATTCATAATAGTCCTGATCGTTTTCTTTAACCGTTGCTTGTTCAGATAGTTTCAAACGTTTTTTCAATATTTCTAGGAGATAATGAACAGCTTTTTCGCACAAATGAGTTTGTTTTGTTATGAACTGAATAGCTTGCTGGCACGATTCGTCGGTGAGTTTGATAAATTCGTCAATAGTCACAGGATCTTGTTGCAATTCGCACAACTGTGTCTCAGCGATTGTCTGTAGAGTGTTTTCGATACGACAAGTCAAAATGTCTTGACAATCATTTACCAATATTCGTAATTGTTCTAATTCAGTTTGAACATTTAACACATCTAGAGAGAAACCAATACTCACAGACGAACAACAGATAGACGCGCTCTTACATTCTTCAATGTTCAAGGATGCCCACGTGATGGCCACGAAACCGGGACGCAATGCTTCTTCAACTTTTTCTCGATGGGATTTCATCAGTGTTGTCATCTCTCTTGGTACCGATGCATAGGTTTGTTTAATGTTTTTTAACATTTCTTGCAGATTGACGCTTGTTTTTCGTATAATTTCTTCTTGTCTCAATAGTGTTATAGCTGTATCAGGAATGTCTAAGCCAAGTTTTGTTAGATATTGTGCATCTTTAATCAACTCCAACACTTGGGGATCAAAATTCACATGATCTTCCTAGGAACAACAGCGGTGAACGTCAGAAAAGGCCTAGTTTGACATGTATCACTCACTTTTGTTTCGGTATCTCGGATTAAAATCGCCGCATTCATTCCTTTCTTGATCAAATCTATTCCGCGACACCAGTTACGATAGAATAGAAGCTGAAGAAAAACAAGCGAAATGTTTTAGACAACTTTGCTAAAGTAAACGGTGACTGTCACGAACTTCATATTGTAATAACGCTTCAGCTATTTTGTTAAAATTTTTTATCAACACTCTTCCATCATCGGTTTTATTCAAATCCATTTTTACTTGCAATAATTTAATAGGCGCACTGATTCGTTGATACAGTTGACGTGACCAGATAATTCGACCAGCAGTTGGAGGCAAGTTTCGTGCTACTGCTGGTTCTTCTTTATTCTTTTCATAGATCTTTCGTACCTATAAGACGAACATCATCATAATGGTGATCAAACAAATACAAAGAATTAGCAAAATCTGATATCTCCCTAGTGATCGATTCTTATATAAGAATGTTATAAGAAACAGCTAAGGGCTGGATAAGATTCAGATAAATATCTGAGAAGAGTCTTATGAGAACTGATAAAAAATGTTCGTCTAGGGTTGTTGCTGAATAGATAAAATCTAACCTACACCTCCTAGCATGAGCCCAGCTCTCTTGAACGACCGTCAAGCAGGAGAATCACTTACTGTATCCAGTTCTTTATTGAAATTTTGTACGAGTTTTCCATATTTATCAGCAAAATCGATTGTAACACCCTGGAGATCTTGAAACTTTTCTAAGAATAACAGTGACTGCTCCACCTATGAGTGAAAACCACAGTTACTTTCAATTGCTGCAGTTTTGATGGCATATCGCTTACTGTGTATGACTTTCTAAACCAACTATCGATAAATGTTTGCAATTGTGTTTGAATATTGTCAATCTGCTGTTTGAAGTCGTCATAGTCATTGTCAAACTAAAAGAAGAAAGGGGAAGATAGAACAACTTTATTCTTTTTACTGCTCACATGCATACATCTTGTTTCCGATGATCAAGTAAATCATATGTTTTCTTTTTAATGGCATCCACCACTGACTTGTATTTCACCACGATTGGTTCTAAGCCTTCTACTCGAATATTTTGTAATCCGCTTAAACTTTCAATTGTATTTAATACGCTTACAATGTGGTCCAAACGTTTACAAAACGTGTCATATTTACCAAATATGTAATTTTCACTAGAGACCACGAACAAACAGCGGTTAGCATCGCGCTCGAATAGGGGAGAAGAAAAATACCTAAAGTCCCACTGTCGTTCATTTTCCGATTCGTGTAATTTGGCTTTTGTTTTATGAAAATACGACTGGTACTCTTCATTCAGTTTTTTACTTTCATTTATACGAGAGATCAAATCTTGTCTAAAATTACACAACAGATGAAAAGCGTCGATCACATCAGTGAGAGACAGACGTACCTAGGTATATCCCATAGCCTCACATTTCCATCTCTTATATATCGTTTACATGTATTGATCATCTGATTTGTTATTTTCACAAATAGAGATGTCATTCGGCCACTGGAATTGTAGTATTGAGATATACTGTGAATCATACGGATGGCATTCATTAAACTTGGAATGTTTTCTGAGATGGAAGTCTAAAACAAAAGAATAGTCAGATCGACTTCATCCTCCCATTTATGTGTCGACGCAAAGGTCATTGTTTTCGGATGCTCACTGGATTGTTTTTGTCGAGTGTTGAGAAAAATTTATCTAGCGTATATAAATATCGAACATTGTCTTTTGCTTCATTGGCCGCATCCGTGATTCGAGTATCTAAATCTTTCCACCGATTAATTGTTTTCGATTTTGATGATTGTAACACGCCCACAACCGAACGACACCTTGATGATTTGACCTGCTCTAACAAGTTGTTAAATGTGGCCATACGTTGTTTCCAATGAATGAGTTCAGCCGATGGACCAACATCGTCGGCTTCACGACGAATCTGTTCACTTTCAGCTAAGATCTAAACGTATGACCCAAACTCTGAAACGACTTCACGCTCTTGTCATTCACTATAGTACCTTTTCGATTTGTTTACACCATTTATCCATTAATTTTTCACATTCAACAATAAAGTCGCTATTTTGAGCCATTGTATGATAATCATTCGGAGATGTTAATGTTGACAATACATTGTCGTTATCACCACTCGCTAATTTCACTTGATGTGCTATAAACGCAAGACGATGTATGGGAAGACATTCACTAGACATTCATTCAACTTACCTAGATTATCACTGGCACCATTGACAGATGCCGTAAATTGACTCATGGCATCAAGAAAGTCTTGGACACTCAGATTACTTCGATTTTTCAAGGCACCCCAATCCTAACCAATCAAAAAACATCGGTGGAAACAGAATGACTTTAGAGAATGAACACCTTTTCATCATCAATACTCAAGTCACATAGCAGAAAATCAACGTGGAATTGTCGACGATAAGAAAAATAGCTTGACTAATTTAAACGCGTGACAAAAGATTCATTTTTAGGTTTGGCTTCTCTTACTTGTCATAGGAGAAGCTAAGGTCGGGCATTACTGTTGAAAAATGGACCGAACTCATTGATGAGAGAAGGAAAAGTTGTGATGCACAATCTTCAGAAATCGAACGTGTCAGTTCTGTAGTAGACCTTCAATTCCGTTGATATCTGTGAAGAGCGATAGGAAAACTGAAAGATGTTGCTGCAACACAGAGTGACTGCCATTCTGTTGCAGAACCACTGGTGCACAACGTCTGACGATTCGCTAGCGTTCATATCAGACAAAAGACGCGGGTTCTCCTACAAAAGCATATAATTCTTCAAGAATTGGTCATCAGTAGCTCTAACAAACTGTCGAAGTGTTTGTCCTCGACAGGTTAAAAGCGAAGATCTCTCAAATGTCGCGTGCGAGTCGACAAGAGTAGCGAACATACTTCATATTGCTGAAGTAAAGGAATTAAAATACTTCCTAATAATTGTTCAATCGATTCTAACATTTTACCATTTGTGGCGTCTAGAAAATGAGAGATTAAAATAGTTTGTATGACCATCAGAAATATAAAGTCACCCACACTACCTAATTGCCCAAAGACAACTTCATTGACGATATTTTGCGGTGTAACTGCTGTCGTTTGATTCGGACGAACAAAATAGTACAGTACTCCTGTTAGTTGCTGAAAGAGCAGGAAAGATGTGAGAAGAAGCGAAGTCAGTGTGAGAAAGTAATTACCACTGTTTCACTGCTGATAATCACTCGCCTTTTTGGACCCGTTGCTGTTAGTCGACCGTAGGTCGGTTGATTGGGTTCCGCATTCTATAGTAGAAGACGTGACTGTGTGAAGTGACAAGTGATGTTTGAGAAAACTCACTTTTGGTTCTTGATAATAGAACATCAACACACGACGTCCATTCGTCAAGAAAAAGTCGTCAATACAATCGAACTTGAGCGAATAATAAGAAATAAGTTTCCGTTAACACCACATCCCCGACAGAGTCTATACCTGATTGTCGAATAAAATATTCTCTTCAACTTGTGATGCTTCGATACCAATTGCCTCGGCCAACTATAATTCAAATGAATTATGTATACATTAACTTTCTTTCGAAGTGGTGCTCGACTTACTCTTTGAAACAGATCTTCATGTCGAGCGTCAAGCTAAAAAATCAAGGAAAATCGAGTCCGAGGCTCGTATTCGACTAGGATGGTGTTCTTACGCTTATACGACGCTCATCTCGAAGAGCTTTTGCTTGTTTGAGCATCTCTTGTGCACGATCACCGCCAACTACTTTACTTTTGGCCTCAAAAAACAAAGCGTTAAACGAATACCGAAAGTGTGTGCGTTAGTTTTTGACTTACGGGTGGTATATTACTCGATGTGAAGGCGGTGGCGGCGTTGGTGTTTTGCATTGATTTTGCAGTATGACCATTTTGGAACGGACTACTAACAGTCGAATCTGTCGATCTATTTTGTATAGTGTCAGCTAAATAAGGTGAGCAGTAGATAATATATTATCTACACCTGCTTCCTGCTAGTGAAAATGTCCATTCGTGCATACAAGGTACTTACTCTTCAAGTTGATTAGTGGAGGCGCCACTTCTTCATTTGGAACTTCGTTATGGATTTCATTCTGGAAGACGTCGGTCATCTAAACAAAGAAGCTACATTAAATCGGATTGAAATAGAAAAGTAAGATGCAAATGTGAAGCGTAATTTATATAGTAAACGTAGAAAACGGAAAATTTGCGTTGGTTGCAGAGTTAAACTTATTTCAATCATTAACTGGCTAATCCATTATACTCTGAACGTTGCATTTTTCTGATAGTGTTAAGGATTGATCGTTCGTCACGCAGCCAATCAAAGCAAATGGCTTTTGTCGGATCTAGGATGTTTTAAGAAGACTTTGATAAATCAAATGGAAGATAAATATCAAAAGAATTATGACTAAATGAATGAACAGTTTTCGTCAGTATCTTTGTCAAACTTGCCTTTGGATGTGGTGTTGTCACTAAGAACTGTATGTTAATGTTAGCAAATGAGCTGTGCTTGAAAAGAAATTACACACATAGATCTAAAATGTTTCGAGCTATATCATGTATTCTTGTTGAAAAATGCTTATAAAGGCATTAGAAAAGTTCGAGGGCAATAATCATATAATGCAGAATTCAATCTCGAAATTGTACTATAATGCTCACTTCACTCTGTATAAAAATGCGAAAATTTAAAGTGAACTTCGTTGTTTATTATGCACAGAGAGCATAGCAAGTCTCATTGCTTAGTTGCAAAATTGAATTAAAAGAAGAATAAAATGAACAGGAAACGTTTTCACTTGAAAACTAAATAAAAAAAAGTGGAAAAGAGAAAAATGTTTTTGTTTCCATTAATCTGATTTTTTCCTTCTCTTCCTCGTTCTGCGATAAAAAGAAAGAGGAAGCAATCAATGCATCGGCTGTTGTTTTGTTACGGTTTGCGAAGAAGTGAGGGAATGAAAGTGTCTGTGAGAAGAAGAGAGAAAGTTACTTTAATATAAACGTTTTTTTGTCAGGTAGAGAGCGAGGTTGATCTGATTATAGATGAAAATTTGGATTCGATTTCAGCTCTTTCACCAATCAACATTTGAACAAGTCATATTGTTCAACCGTGTCTCAACTGTTTGTCATAGCAAACTGTTTTTCATTCTCAAGTTGAGAATGAGATCTCGTTTCCATGCATTTTGTCCGTAGTGAAGATCTCCATGATGAAGATAATTGTACGCGAATCTCACTCTTTGGGGGGGAGAATATCGTATGCAGTATCTCAGAATATAAATGATCTATCAGTTACAACGCCCTCCGACATTGAACTATTAAAAAACGTGCGTGTATAGAACAGCCTGCATGAAAAGAGGAAATATTTCTCGTTTTACACTTCCGGTAGAGAGTAGACTTTGCTACTCATTTTCTTTGTATACTATATGCCAGAGCATATATGCAATCAGGCCTCATTGTATCACAGATATCAACTGATGTTAATTAGTTAACGGAACTACTTCGCACTTATAGATACCACCCGCTTTCTGTAAAATAACAATCGAAATAGATGGAGTTGATGATGTTGCGTTTTTACAATGATTGCTTATCTGTTTTTAATTAGCGAGTTAACTGGATTCATTGACAATCCGAAGGACGTTTTATGTAAGACAGATATATATATATATATATATTTGCTAGATACAGTTAAGCGCATTATACGGCATGACTTTTATTTAAAGGTAATTTCTTTGCATCACTCTAATAAGAAATTTGGTGACTAAAGAGTAAATTGAGAGTCACCATGGTTTTTAATGATTGTTTTTGCAGTTTCTTTTCTTTTGTAACCTTTATCGAAGCAAATTAGTAAAAGAGCCGGGATGATATACAGTAGATCGTCAACAACAAACTATGACGGTCTTTTGTGATGATAAAAATAAGTAGATTTCACAAATGTTGGACGTTTAGATGAGATTGGAAATTAAAGTTTTGCTCACTACCAGAAACAAGATCATTTGGTACCCATGGGGAAATTTTATCGACTTTTCACGCGTGAGGGATCGTGAAATGTCAACTTGAACTTTCACGAAATTTTGTAGTATTTTGTAGTAAAAACAGCAATTTTCACGACGGTTTGGTCGTGTTGTTGCAACATCACACGCGTGGCCACACGTGAACACGAGTTACCACGTGTAAAAAAGCTCTCACGCGTGATTACTCGTGAACTTCCTAAATCTGTTTTCTTAGTTAATAACTTTTCCAAACTTTTTTTAGTTAATACTTCCTCCCGGGGAACAAGATGATTCCCAGGCATATTCCTACAGAAAATACCAGGAGAAATTTGTATTTATGCTTGCCGCTAAATCTTCACTATATTTCACGCCTGTAAAAGGTTTCACACGTGGACGTGCGTGAAACGTAAGAGTTTCGTCGCTTGCGGTTAAGCATGAATGTTATTCACGAAATGAGTTGCGTGAAACACTGACGTGCGAATAAATGTGAAGAAATTTTTCACAATAAAATTAGTGGGAACCATTTTCACGCGTGCCCACACACCATTTTACGATGTTCACGTGCGACCACAATTTCACAATATTCACGCGTGTACACACCGCGGTACCTACTAAAATTTCCCCATGGGTAGGCCAACACGTGAATAGAAAATGTATGTGTCAAACGGGAAACAAATTTAGAATCTCCTGATATACAGGCTTCATTTGGCCCTACGAATTGTCGTCTACTTCGCTTTCTTTCTCTGTTTAACCGGAATATTAGTGTACCGGGATAGTATATACACTGTATAGGCAATAAAATCAAAAGTACAAAGAAAATATTTTTCTCTCATTCACAAGAAACGAAATAAATACCGGACCAAACTGAACGGCCCATTCGGTTATCGGGTGTTTGTTATTTTAGATCTTCAAACTGTCCGTCTTTTTTCTATTTGTGAATTTTATATATAATACCATATAGTGGTGTATTTATGACATTGTCGTTCTGTGTGTCTTCTAAACTGTCAGATAATGTATTTTGTGTTACATCCATTTGTCTTGAAATGAAGGTATTGAGTATAGTAAAGACTATATTAAAGGCATTTATTGATTCTCGAGTAAAGCATCATATGTGTACAAGATGTAAAGCAGAGGGGATAAAGGAGATTCCTTTGAAGTTCCGTGACTAATTGTGTATTCCCGTAAAAGAGACGAATTGAATTCTATCTGTGCTGTTCTGTAGTCGAGAAAGCTGGAGATCCATCTGATTAAATATAGAAGAGCTCCCAGAGACCAGATTTTTTACAATAAACTCCGGTGCCAAACTGAATCAAATGCAGCTTTCACATCGAAGAATATTGTTCTCGTGTGTCTATTTTTTGCTAGATTTGTGCGTGCAAAATGTGTGATGTTTAATAAATTATTTACTGTTAATTTGTCTTAATCTGTCTTAATTTTGCACCAGGATAATGTGTGCTTTTTTCATTGTTTTGGGATGTAGCCAGTTTTAATGCTGCTCTTGAAAAGATGTTGAAGGCGTTCAAACAGTAGTTTGGTCCGATCTTTCAATAACCGTGTGTGGATATTGTCTGGACCCGGCGATGTATCTTTTAGAATTGTAATTTAATTTTGCAGGTTTTTGTTGTGATGAGGTCTTATAGGTCGATGTATGTTCTTTTAAGAAAATCAGACGTTTCTTCAACTCTTGTTCGATTTTTTGATGAAAAAATGATGATATTTTATCCTCTTTAAACATCTCTTCGAAATGATCTGTAAGCAATTCTGCTTTCTGGTCGTCTGATTTTGCTTTAATATTTTTGCACGGTACTGTGCTATTGTCGGTTGAGTGTACTTTTTTGTTGTGGTACCTTCCGATTGTTGTCCACATTCGTTTGTTTCCTTGTAGTGTACAAGAATTGTGTTTAGATAGACTTTCCATTGCTTTTTGGATTGTTGTTTTTTGCCATTTTTAACCCTCATCCGCCCACCTACAGGACTATCACTTGTTGCCCACCTGGGGTCCGTCCGGACCCCAAGTTGATAAAACAGGTTTAAAAATCACTGTTAAGACATGGAACATTTTTAATAACATATTCGGATTCAGCCTCGAATGATGAATAT